GGTAAGGAGGGTTGTAAAAGTGGTGTATACACATTTAGTATAAACGAAAATACTATGCGTGCCGAGCTCTGTAATCTAGGTATACAGTGTGTTAAGAAGAAAGACATAGAAGCATCACTGAAAGTGCGTGAAGAAATACGCGTTGATCCATTCAAAACTGGCTTTTCACACGTAACTCAACCGAGTAGTATAGATATCAATGCGGTACGTTTGTGCTTCCAAGTATTTATCCAAGGCGAAAATGGACACTTCACGGTGCCACTGAAGCCCGTCGTTACCGATCCTATCTATGACAAGAAGTCGAAGTCAGATCTCGTTATACGTGAGATGTGCAGTTCGGCGACAGTGCTGGGCAACACGACTATCATGTTGCTCTGCGAAAAGGTGGCGAAAGAAGATATAGCGGTGCGATTTTTCGAGGAGATTAATGGTGTTGTAGTTTGGCAAGCTTATGGCGACTTTGAACCCTCTAGTGTGCATAAACAAACCGCAATTAGACTGAGGACACCTAAATATCACAATACCGATATTGAAGAGCCCGTACAGATATTCGTGCAACTACAAAGACCTTCCGATGGTGCCGTCAGTAAGCCTTGTGAATTCAAATATGAACCAGTCAAAAAATCACGACTAAAGCGCAAATGTAGACTTAACGACCTTACTATGGCTTCGTTTAAAGCTAGGGAGAACCAGACGGTTACCAATAAACCGTTACAAAATAACATTATCAAGAATGAAGCACATATAAATTTGGATACGTTCTTCGTGTCTAGTGAGATGACACCATCACCAGAGCCATTATCGCCACTATCATCAATCAAGAGCAATACATCGAGAACACCTTCGCCTGACGGAAAGGTCAAAAAAAATGCGTTTTTAAATATAAGGGCTTTTACTGTAACATATCGAAAAACCGTTATGATTGAGAATGGTACGCTTTGGGAACCCCGTAAAATTACCGTAGCATAAAAATAAAGCCAAAGTTTGATTCGTTCGTCCTCCAATATAGCAGGACTAGAATACATAATCGTTATACTTTCAGTCAGTGCTGTGGTTCTTGGGAGTTCAAAATTTCGTAATATCATGTGTTATTGTTTCAGAGTGAATACGTTTCTATTCCCTAGTGATTTGTTCAATAATCGATTAGGTTTTTATAGACAAGTTTGGACAGAACAAGAAGACAACAACATGAATATAGCCAAGGGCTCTATAGCAGTTTTAAACAGTTACTAGCGCCTTACAGTGTGCTGCAGAAAGGTCTTATTCCTATCAGTCCATGCTAAGATAATAAGCAAAGTAATCGAAAAGTCAATTTTGCAATATAAAACGCATTTGGCAGAGGTATGCTACAAGGTTCTCAGCTGTACTATAGTTTAATGAATTAGACTGAAGCAACATGCATGACTCAATCACTCCATAAAACAACTCACGAAAATAATTTCCCGTGCCAGTCGATTGCAGTAGATCATTCACAGACGGTACCTGCGGCAAATGATTACTTAAGGTGTACAAGGTCGTATCCAACTCATTTGTTGCCCCGCACGTTTGCATAGTCCTGTCCATCGAAGAAATATATTTTGGCATTGTGGTTTCGAAAAGACCTTTTACAGACTCTAAAAAATATACTCGTATTTGTAACTTTTCATAAACTTTCCTCAGCACTCACTCTCCTCTAGATTGGGATTAACGCATGCAGCGCGATTGCCATTGAAGAAGGCTGCCAAGGCTACGGCCATGAAGTGGGTGGTATTCCGTGCAACCACACCAACAATTATCACGTTGCGTCAAATTCAGCTTACGAAAAATTTTCAGCGACACGAATGGCTGCAGCAAAGCTTCTTCGTAGGTTAAGCTAGTCTGTTCAGTATCGGATATCTGACAGGGTTATAAGGATTTAACAAAATTTTTACCAGCTGCAGCTTAAACTTTAAGCACTTACTTGACAGATACTGTGGGGACAAACGGCGCATTTGCTCGGAAGAGTATGCGACCCACAGATGTTTGCGATCGTAGAAAGTCATAGAAAACTTCGGACCCAGCCATTTCTTAGAATCGGCGGTCGTATTGCACCTATGCTTGTATCTATTTCGAACATTTTTAGTTCTAAGTTTAAACAACACAATCACCATTAACTATATTCACTTCCTATTTTGCGGAAACGTCTAATCTTACCAAATTATGCTATTTGAACTGTTGCAACTCAATGCGGATGCACTGAATTCGGCGGTATATTATAATACATTTTCTTGCGTGTCATACAATAAAAGTTAGATGCACTATATTTGTATATTTGTATCTATGTTTATTTAATTATTTACTGATTGATATCTTTGAGTTAAATGTGTGATGTGATATAATTTCTACTTAATATACGTAAACCTGTATGTAAGTATTTTTTAAAGTTCCGGTAGTAAGGGGTGTTCCATAGCTTTGGAAATAAAACAAATACTCATTGCCTTAAATAGAAATCAGTACACACGAGCATAATAAAATTGAAATAAAGTGAGAATTTGAAAAGTTTTCAACATCCTTAAACAGGCAGAGAGGATTCTATGGCATTTTAAGGCTTATTTGCTGTTTTAGCATTCTAATCCCATGGAACGTGACTCAATGTTCTGTTACTTTAAAGAACAGGTTTTATTGAGAAGAAGCTTTAGCCGAATTAAAAAACCCGGTACTTATAAATTATTGAATAGTATGTACCATATTATTTATTATAAGTAAGTAGTGCTTGTAATCAAAGCTGACCTTAGATCTATGAAAATAAATGCGTGTATGTCAAATCAGACGAAGCAATTAGTGTACATATATATGAAAGTAATACACCTCTATCTTCTCTTCTAGTGAACTAGTTATTTATCAGATAGCATCAGAAATAATTTTATTATATATAATCACTAAATTTGTTTACCTGAATAGCAATATCTCTTCAAATATATTTTATTATTTTTAATGATATTTTAATAGTTTGCTAGTTTTAGCAATAGTGGAAACTTAGCTAAAATTATATTTAGGTAGAATGTCTGGGAACTCAGAGAGATCACTTGAAGCGCTGTGTAGAACTGAAAATATATTTGTAACGACCAAACATTTTTAAGAACCAAGATTTGTCAACGAAGATTTTTCGAATCTGCCACTTATTCTAGTATCTTAGTGTGGTACTTAAAGCACAAATGATTTTCGAAAGCAATTGTATATGCAGATCGAGCAAGAAGATTTGGTTATTGAATATTATTTCAGCGAAGTAAGGAAAGTTCAGAAATAAAAATTTCGAAAACATGTGTTTTTCTACCCATGAAATGGAATATATAACATATTTAGAGCGTCTAACCATAGAGATGACGGGATTGGGGGCAGCTGGTGGCGATCATGTTTGTTTCCGGATTTGTAACAAAATTTATTTTGTGTTCAGTAAGTTTTGCCATCCATCATGTCACGTTCCATTTGGTACAACGCTGGGAAATTGTTCAAGATTATTACGTAAAATTCACGTTTTCCGAAAACTCACACAATTCACGTTTATCGAAAATCTTTCTTCAGCAAAACAACAACTCCCAGCAAAAATAAAATATGTCGCTTTTGGGATAAGTCAAATCCGTGTGGTTAAGGAAACGCATTGCATTACCAAAATTGACCGTTTGCGGATAGTGGTATGGCGGGCACCATCCGGCCTTTATTTACTTTCGAAACCGTTATCGATAGCGAGCATTCTAACACGATGTGGACCGACTTTTTCCCACGGAATTTGTATAAATCGACGCAGATGATATCTATTTCTAACAAAAACGGTGCGGCGCTTTCAATTTTCACTCTAACATGGACACATTGCGTGCAAAGTTTTGGCGACTCGTTAACTTTGACAAATGGTCTGATCAAATGGACGCCAAGATCATGTTTTTAACGCCTCTAGATTATTTTCTCTGTGCTATTTGTTAAATCAAAACTTACGCTAATCAACCAGCAATTCTTGGAGGTTGTCGGAAGACAACATTCAGCAAAACTATTGTCGAAACTCCAACCGAAATGCTGCACCGGGTCATCGAAAATTGGCGTAAAGAGTTGGGCATTTATTTAAATACGATATTTTATTAAATTACAAAAATGCATTAAATTATCAGCATAACAAAAAACACAAACCCATTTTGACCAAATTTGAGTGTTTTAATTTAATTTAACTTCACGTCGTTTTTGTTGGTAGTCCCTACATCTCTCATAGTTTAAGGTGTGATAGTTTTTCACAATTTATCGATTTATTTTGACATCTTTATTAAGTTAAGGCAGAGAGATGTTAATAAACATTTATTTATAAAACTCCCACATTCTCAAATTAAGGTATGCAACAATTATAAAACGTAGAGGATTCGTGGACATCATAGGCAATAAAAATATATCTTCTCAAGGTGTGTCACTGCTAATAATCTTGGAGGTTGGCAACTTTTATTTGCAAGAATCTTTTGTGCAGTTCTAATAAAGTGCTTATACTGATCTACAACTCACTGGATTACAATTTAGATCAAAAGAGTACGGTTGAAAATGCAAGGGCGAATAACTTACTTTGTTTTTCAAACAACAATTGAACACCCTCCTTCAGGTCCTTGCATCACTGATTGCCTACCCTGCGCTTAATTTCTTTTATATCAAATGACAGTTGTCTAGCTGCCAATGATATCAGATTAAGGTAGAACAAAAAAAGACCTTGAGCAGGTTCTAGACCGGCATCCTTCCGCGAATCCCATCAAATAATGCTAACCGTAGCTGACCGTTCGCGCATATATAAAGAGCGTCCGATAAGTCTTTAAAAAATTCAAGTATAACTTAGAAGTTACAAGTATTCAGACGCTGTATTTCTAGAAAATTAATTTCGATTTTATATTTGTTCTTAAAGGTAGTGCAATAAGAAGGTAAATGGATTCAGATATTATATGAATCAATTCAACGATCTTATGGATGAAATAAGTCCGAGCATGTCGCAATTCGAACGATTTAAGCAGGAGAAGCGACAAACTCCGCCCTGTGCTGACATTACGCTACAGAAACCAAACCAAAACAAAAGCGAAAGCAAAAGCCGAAGCAAAACAAACACAAGAAAACAGCAGTGCTTAAAAAATTTGCTGAGCCGAATAGAAACTATGAAAACGGCTTATGTGAAAATAGTGAGCAACCGGCGAGTAAAGGCTGTAGATTCCGTTATGAGTGTGAAGGGCGTTCAGCCGGTTCCATACCCGGTAAAATTCGACAATGGAAATGCGAACCTATCCTACAATCGAAATTGTTGGCTACAAGGGCCGCTCGGTTTGTGTCGTCTCTTGTGTGTCCAAGGATCCACCATATAAAGACCACTCCTCCATTACTTTTAGTGGTTAAGTTTGGATAGTGATCAATTGGTGCAGATTTGCGATGACACACTACTCGAACACACGATCACGGAGGACTTCGAACTGGCGTCTTTAACCTTATCGGTCTAATCCTTTTTCTGTTTTTGTGTTCTGCTTCTTTTTTACTGAATTAGTTAGCCATCTAAAACGCAAGGACATAAGTTTTGTACTTAAGATTTCTAAAATAATGCTAGCTTTAAGAAATGGTAATATTTTATAGGTTAATATTTTTATTATAATTTGTTTTTGTAAGTTGTCTTTGTCTAAAATCGTTTTAAAATACAATGTCTTTTAGTTAAATATATGCAACAATGGTCGTGGTGCATCAATTATTATACCTAAGCTCTATTTATTTTCGAACGTGTTTGGCATCTTTTATAACCCTTGTCTTCTCTGGGATGAAAGAAACATTTCCTTAATTGTTTTACGATTTAGCTTGGAGTTCCCCAATTTGGGTAGCTCTTCCACAATGATGACACCACCATGTAAATGCTTGTAAGTCGCATTGACATGCTCTTTCACATACTTGATCACATCTGGCGCACTTAAAGAGCTACCTGGTATTTTAACTACAGCGGCCGCTGCAGCATCGCCTATTTCGTCTATTGATATCCCGAATACACATACTTCTGTTACATTTGGCATTTGAACAATAACCTCTTCGATTTCTTTTGTATAATACTGCATACCAAGGTACTTCAGAATATTCTTCTTACGATCAATCACATGTAAATACCCGTCCGTATCGAAAAAACCCAGATCACCTGTATGGAACCAACCGTCCGCTTTATATATCGCCACTGTTGCGTTATTATTGTTGTAATAGCCCAACCATTGGCGACTGTGATGGCAACATATTTCGCCAACTTCACCGGGGCTCAAGCGTTTACCACTTTCATTTAAAATTATGCCTTTGTAGCCTGGTTGTAAACGCCCCACAGCTTGAGGTTTCTCCAACAGCTTACAATTCATCGTTATTAAGCCTTCGAACTCGGTTAAACCATAAGCGAAGATCATTCGAGCGTTTCGCAAATATTTTTGCAACCCCTGCTGTATATGCATGGAACAATTGCCACCGCCATACATTAGGTATCGCAAACTGGCTAACTTTTCAACGGTAATCGATGGGTTATTAAGTAATACAGCTAATAGCGGTGGTGCAATCACAGTAAATGTGATCTTGTATTTTGGTATTAGCTTTAAAAAATATTCCGCATCGAAAGTTCGTTCGGTAATAACACGCTTGGCGCCAAAGCCAATGCTTGCGATGAGCATCACCAAGCCCGTTAGCCAATCCATTGTGCTTAAAACGAAGAGTACGTCTTCTGAGTTCAAAAAACTAAAAGAAACAAGTTTAAATATACTTGTAGGAAATAAACTGGAAGTTTAAAAAGTGCGTAATATAGCTTACTGTAACATATCGAAAAACCGCTTATGATTGGAGATGGTTACCGCTTTGGGAACCCCTGTAGTACCCGATGAGCATAAAATAGCCAAAGTTTGATTCGTTCCGTCCTCCAATATAGCAGGACTAGAAGTAACATAATCGTTATACTTTCAGTCAGTGCTGTGGTTCTTTGGGAGTTCAAAATTTCGTTAATATCATGTGTTATTGTTTCTCAGAGTGAATACGTTTCTATTCCCTAGTGATTGTTCAATAATCGATTAGGTTTTTATAGACAAGTTTGGACAGAACAAGAAGACAACAACATGAAATATAGCCAAGGGCTCTATAGCAGTTTTAAACAGTTACTAGCGCCTACAGGCTGTGCTGCAGAAAGGCTCTTATTCCTATCAGTCCATGCTAAGATAATAAGCAAACGTAATCGAAAAGTCAATTTTTGCAATATAAAACGCATTTGGCAGAGGTATGCTACAAGGTTCTCAGCTGTACTATAGTTTAATTGAATTAGACTGAAGCAACATGCATGACTCGAATCACTTCCATAAAACAACTCACGTAAACTTATGTTCCGTGCCAGTCGATTGCAGTAGATCATTCACAGACGGTACCTGCGGCAAATGATTACTTAAGGTGTACAAGGTCGTATCCAACTCATTTGTTGCCCGCACGACTTTTGCATAGTCCTGTCCATCGAAGAAAATATATTTTGGCATTGTGGTTTCGAAAAGACCTTTTACAGACTCTAAGAAATATACTCGTATTTGTAACTTTTCATAAACTTTCCGTTTCAGCACTCACTCTCCTCTAGATTGGGATTAACCGCATGCAGCGCACTGCCATTGAAGAAGCATGCCAAGGCTACGGCCATGAAGTGGGTGGTATTCCGTGCAACCACACCAACAATATCACGTTGCGTCAAATTCAGCTTACGAAAATTTTCAGCGACACGAATGGCCTGCAGCAAAGCTTCTTCGTAGGTTAAGCTAGTCTGTTCAGTATCGGATATCTGACAGGGTTATAAGGATTTAACAAAATTTTTACACAGCTGCAGCTTAAACTTTTAAGCACTTACTTGACAAATACTGTGAGGACAACGGCGCATTTGCTCGAAGAGTATGCGACCCACAGATGCGTTGCGATCGTAGAAGTCATAGAACTTCGGACCCAGCCATTCCTTAGAATCGGCGTCGTATGTTGCACCTATGCTTGTATCTATTTCGAACATTTCTAGTTCTAAGTTTAAACACACAATCACCATTAACTATATTCACTTCCTATTTTGCGGAAACGTCTAATCTTACCAAATTATGCTATTGAACTGTTGCAACTCAATGCGGATGCACTGAATCGGCGGGTATATATATAATACATTTTCTTGCGTGTCATACAATAAAAGTTAGATGCACTATATTTGTATATTTGTATCTATGTTTATTTAATTATTTACTGATTGATATCTTTGAGTTAAATGTGTGATGTGATATAATTTCTACTTAATATACGTAAACCTGTATGTAAGTATTTTTTAATAGTTCCGGTAGTAAGGGGTGTCTCCATAGCTTTTGGAAATAAAAACAAAATACTCATTGCCTTAAATAGAAATCAGTACACACGAGCATAATAAAATTCGAAATAAAATGTGAGAATTTGAAAAGTTTTCAACATCCTTAAAACAGGCAGAGAGTATTCTATGGCATTTTAAGGCTTATTGCTTGTTTTAGCACTTTCTAATCTCCATGGAACGTGACTCAATGTTCTGTTACTTAAAGAACAGGTTTATTGAGAAGAAGCTTTAGCCGAATTAAAACACCCGGTACTTATAAATTCGCAATAGTATGTACCATATACTATATTATATAAGTAAGTAGTGCTTGTAACAAAGCTGACCTTTAGATCTATGAAAAATAAATGCGTGTATGTCAAATCAGACGAAGCAATTAGTGTACATATATATGAAAGTAATACACCTCTATCTTTCTCTCTCTAGTGAACTAGTTATTCATCAGTATAGCATCAGAAATAATTTATATTATATATAATCACTAAATTTGTTTTACCTGGAATAGCAATACTCTCTTCAAATATATTTTATTATTTTTAATGATATTTTAATAGTTTGCTAGTTTTAGCAATAGTGGAAACTTAGCTAAAAATTATATTTAGGTAGAATGTCTGGGAACTCAGAGAGATCACTTGAAGCGCTGTGTAGAACTTGAAAATATATTTGTAACGACCAAAACATTTTTTAAGAACCAAGATTTGGTCAAACGAAGATTTTTTGCCGAATCTGCCACTTATTCTAGTATCTAGTGTGGTACTCTAAAGCACAAATGATTTTCGAAGCAATTGTATATGCAGATCGAGCAAGAAGATTTGGTTATTGAATATTATTTCAGCGAGTTAAGGAAAGTTCAGAAATAAAATTTTCGAAAACATGTGTTTTTTCTACCCATGAAATGGAATATATAACATATTTAGAGCGTCTAACCATAGAGATGACGGGATTGGGGCAGCTGGTGGCGATCATGTTTGTTTCCGGATTTGTAACAAATTTTATTTGTGTGTTCAGTAAGTTTTGCCATCTCATCATGTCACGTTCCATTTTGGTACAACGCTGGGAAATTGTTCAAGATTATTACGTAAATTCACGTTTTCCGAAAAACTCACAAATTCACGTTTATCGAAAAATCTTTTTCTCAGCAACAACAAACTCCAGCAACAAATAAAATTGTCGCTTTTGGGATAAGTCAAATCCTCGTGTGGTTAAGGAAACGCATTGCATTACCAAAAATTGACCGTTTGGTGCGGATAGTGGTATGGCGGCACCATCCGGCCTTATTTACTTTCGAAACCGTTATCGATAGCGAGCATTCTAACACGATGTTGACCGACTTTTTCCCACGGAATTTGATAAAATCGACGCAGATGATATCTATTTCTAACAAAACGGTGCGGCGCTTCAATTTTCACGTCTAAACATGGACACATTGCGTGCAAAGTTTGGCGACTCGTTAACTTTGACAAATGGTCTGATCAAATGGACGCCAAGATCATGTTTTTTAACGCCTCTAGATTATTTTCTCTGTGGCTATGTTAAATCAAAACTTTACGCTAATCAACCAGCAATTCTGGAGGTGTCGGAAGACAACATTCAGCAAACTATTGTCGAAACTCCAACCGAAATGCTGCACCGGGTCATCGAAAATTGGCGTAAAGAGTTGGGCATTTATTTAAATACGATATTTTATTTAAATTACAAATGGCATTAAATTATCAGCATAACAAAAAAAACACAACCCATTTTGACCAAATTTGAGTGTTTAATTTAATTTTAACTTCACGTCGTTTTTGTTGGTAGTCCCTACATCTCTCATAGTTTAAGGTGTGATAGTTTCACAATTTATCGATTTATTTTGACATCTTTTATTAAGTTAAGGCAGAGAATGTTAATAAACATTTATTTATAAAAACTTCCCACATTCTCAAATTAAGGTATGCAACAATTATAAAACGTAGAGGAATTTCGTGGACATCCATAGGCAATAAAAAAATATATCTTCTCAAGGTGTGTGTCACTGCTAATAATCTTGGAGGTTGGCAACTTTATTGCAAGAATCTTTTTGTGCAGTTCTAATAAAGTGCTTATACTGATCTACACTCACTGGATTACAATTTAGATCAAAAGAGTACGGTTGAAAATGCAAGGCAGAATAACTTACTTTGTTTTTTTTTTCAAACAACAATTGAACACCCTCCTTCAGGTCCTTGCATCACTGATTGCCTACCTGCGCTAATTTCTTTCTTATATCAAATGACAGTTGTCTAGCTGCCAATGATACAGATTAAGGTAGAACAAAAAGAATGACCTTGAGCAGGTTCTAGACCGGCATCCTTCCGCGAATCCCATCAAATAATGCTAACCGTAGCTGACCGTTCGCGCATATATAAAGAGCGCCGATACAAGTCTTTAAACAAATTCAAGTATAACTTAGAGAAAGTTACAAGTATTCAGACGCTGTATTTCTAGAAAATTAATTTCGATTATATTTTGTTCTTTAAAAAGTGTAGTGCAATAAGAAGGTAAATGGATTCAGATATTTATATGAATCAATTCAACGATCTTATGGATGAAATAAGTCCGAGCATGTCGCAATTCGAACGATTTAAGCAGGAGAAGCGACAAACTCCGCCCTGTGCTGACATTACGCTACAGAAACCAAACCAAAAACAAAAGCGAAAGCAAAAGCCGAAGCAAAAACAAACACAAGAAACAGCAGTGCTTAAAAAAAAATTTGCTGAGCCGAATAGAAACTATGAAAACGCTTATGTGAAAATAGTGGAGCAACCGGCGAGTAAAGCTGTGAGATTCCGTTATGAGTGTGAAGGGCGTTCAGCCGGTTCCATACCCGGTGAAAATTCGACACTGGAAATGCGAACCTATCCTACAATCGAAATTGTTGGCTACAAGGGCAGAGTTGGGACGATTGATATGAAGAGTCCTGAGGCGCGGTAGAAGCTTCCTCCATAAGTCACTTGTTGAATTTGGATAGTGATCACTGGTGCAGATTTGCGATGACACACTACGCGAACACACGATCACGGAGGACTCGAACTGGCGTCTTTAACCTATCGGTCTAACTTTTCTTTTTGTGTTCTTTTTTACTTGAATTAGTTACATCTAAAACGCAAGGACATAAGTTTTGTACTTAGATTTCTAAATATGTAGCTTTAAGAAATGGTAATATTATAGGTTAATATTTTTATTATAATTTGTTTTGTAAGTTGTCTTTGTCTAAAATCGTTTTAAAATACAATGTCTTTTAGTTAAATATATGCAACAAATGGTCTGGTGTGCATCAATTATTACTAATGCTCTATTTATTTTCGAACGTGTTTGGCATCTTTATAACCCTTTTTCTCTTTGGATGAAAGAAACATTTCATTGTTTTACGATTTAGCTTGGAGTTCCCCAATTTGGGTAGCTCTTCCACAATGATGACACCACCATAATGCTTGTAAGTCGCATTGACATGCTCTTTCACATACTTGATCACATCTGGCGCACTTAAAGAGCTACCTGGTATTTTAACTACAGCGGCGCTGCAGCATCGCCTATTTCGTCTATTGATATTCCGAATACATACTTCTGTTACATTATGGCATTTGAACAATAACCCTTCGATTTCTTTGTATAATACTGCTACCAAGGTACTTCAGAATATTCTTTCGATCAATCATCATGTAAATACCGTCCGTATCGAAAAACCCAGATCACCTGTATGGAACCAACTGTCCCGCTTTATATATCGCCATTGCGTTTATTGTTGTAATAGCCCAAACCATTGGCGACTGTGATGGCAACATATTTCGCCAACTTCACTCGGGCTCAAGCGTTTACCCACTTTCATTTAAAATTATGCCTTTGTAGCCTGGTTGTAAACGCCCCACAGCTTGAGGTTTCCAACAGCTTACAATTCATCGTTATTAAGCCTTCGAACTCGGTTAAACCATAAGAAGATCATTCGACGTACTTCGCAAATATTTTTGCAACCCCTGCTGTATATGCATGGAACAATTGCCACCGCCATACATTAGGTATCGCAAACTGGTAACTTTTCAACGGTAATCGATGGGTTATTAAGTAATACACAATAGCGGGTGGTGCAATCACAGTAAATGTGATCTTGTATTTGGTATTAGCTTTAAAAAATATTCCGCATCGAAAGTTCGTTCGGTAATAACACGTTTGCCAAAGCCAATGCTTGCGTGGAGCATCAACCAAGCCGTTAGCCAATCCATTGCTTAAAACGAAGAGTACGTCTTCTGAGTTCAAAAAACTAAAAGAAACAAGTTTAAATATACTTGTAGGAAAAACTGGAGTTTAAAAAGTGCGTTAATATAGCTACTGTAACATATCGAAAAACCGCTTATGATTGAGAATGGTTACCGCTTGGAAACTTTAGTACCTGAGCATATAAAATAGCAAAGTTTGATTCGTTCGTCTCCAATATAGCAGGACTAGAAGTAAACATATAATCGTTATACTTTCAGTCAGTGCTGTGGTTCTTGGAGTTCAAAATTTCGTTAATATCATGTGTTATTGTTCTCAGAGTGAATACGTTTCTATTCCCTAGTGATTGTTCAATAATCGATTAGGTTTTTATAGACAAGTTTGGACAGAACAAGAAGACAAACAACATGAATATAGCCAAGGGCTCTATAGCAGTTTTAAACAGTTACTAGCGCCTACAGGCTGTGCTGCAGAAAGGCTTATTCCTATCAGTCCATGCTAAGATAATAGCAAACGTAATCGAAAAGTCAATTTTGCAATATAAAACGCATTTGGCAGAGGTATGCTACAAGGTTCTCAGCTTACTTATAGTTTAATTGAATTAGACTGAAGCAACATGCATGACCGAATTACTCTATAAAACAACTCACGTAAACTTATGTTCCGTGCTCGATTGCAGTAGATCATTCAAGACGGTACCTGCGGCAAATGATTACTTAAGGTGACAAGGTCGTATCCAACTCATTTGTTGCCCGCACGACTTTGTATAGTCCTGTCCATCGAAGAAAATATATTTTGGCATTGTGGTTTCGAAAAGACCTTTTACAGACTCTAAAAATATACTGTATTTTAACTTTTCATAAACTTTCGTTTCAGCACTCACTCCTCTAGATTGGGATTAACGCATTGCAGGCGTATGCCATTGAAGAGCGCACAGTACGCGAAGTGGGTGGTATTCCGTGCAACCCACACCAACAATACTACGTTGCGTCAAATTCAGCTACGAAAATTTTCAGCGACACGAATGGCCTGCAGCAAAGCTTCTTGTAGGTTGCTAGTCTGTTCAGTATCGGATATCTGAAGGTTATAAGGATTTAACAAAATTTTACTACAGCTGCAGCTTAAACTTTTAGCACTTACTTGACAGATACTGTGGGGACAAGGCGCATTTGCTCGAAGAGTATGCGACCCAAGATGTGTTGCGATCGTGAAGTCATAGAACTTCGGACCAGCCATTCTTTGAATCGGCGTCGTATGTTGCAATCATGCTTGTATCTATTTCGAACATTTCTAGTTCTAAGTTTAACACACAATCACCTTAACTATATTCACTTCCTATTTTGCGGAAACGTCTAATCTACCAAATTATGCTATTGAACTGTTGCAACTCAATGCGGATGCACTGAATCGGCGGGTATATATATAATACATTTTCTTGCGTGTCATACAATAAAAGTTAGATGCACTATATTTGTATATTTGTATCTATGTTTATTTATATTTACTGATTGATATCTTTGAGTTAATGTGATGTGATATAATTCTACTTAATATACGTAAACCTGTAAAGTATTTTTAATAGTTCCGGTATAAGGGTGTTCCATAGCTTTTGAAATAAAACAAATACTCATTGCCTTAAATAGAATCAGTACACACGAGCATAATAAAATTCGAAATAAAGTGAGAATTTGAAAAGTTTCAACATCCTTAAACAGGCAGAGAGATTCTATGGCATTTTAAGCTTAGCTGTTTGTTTAGCACTTCTAATCTCCATGGAACGTGACTCAATGTTCTTACTTAAAGAACAGGTTTATTGAGAAGAAGCTTTAGCCGAATTAAAACAACTGGTACTTATAAATTCGCAATAGTATGTACTATACTATATTATATATATAAGTAGTGCTTGTAAAAAAGCTGACCTTAGATCTATAAAATAAATGCGTGTATGTCAAATCAGACGAAGCAATTATGTACATATATGAAAGTAATACACTTCCACCACACTGGAGAATCATGAGGAAAGTAAAGTTTATCTGGATGACCAACAGTCACAATTTTCAAAAGTTGAAAATATTCAGGACCAACAACAACAACCCCAACTGAACGAGCTGTTACCACAGCCGAATCGGACACAAATACAGCAACAACAATCACAAAGGCAGTCACAGCAAAAACAGCATCAGAGTATCCTACCACAGTTGCAAGTTCGGCAACAACAACAATTTCAACAACTGCTACGACCAAACCTTCTCGAACAGCAGCAGCCACAACAACCACTTCCTCCGCAGCCAATAAAGATGCCGATGCACCAACAGAGGGCTCCGCAGCAACCGCAACTGCAGCGGTTGATGCAGCAATTGCAACAACCATTTCTTGGTAACCCTGAAATCATGAACTGGGATGAGAAATTCGCCAGCATTTTGGCTTTTGCCGCTGCGGCGCTGAGTAATAGTCCGTTTAACTTGCAACAGTTTCTCAATGTCACTGCAAGCACCATGGCACAGAATGGCCAATATAATTCCGCTTTAGGCAATCCACAGCAGATGCCTCCACCTCCCCCCCCTCAACAACAACATCAATGTTTATCGCAACAGCAACCACCACAACAACAAGTCAATTCATCTCAAACACAATTCCAACAACAATCAAATGTCGCCACGAGTATTAACGATGACACTTTGGTGGGCGACGACGAT